GACTAAATGATTACAGGAATAATCGTGTCTCTGCACAGATCCATTCATGTCCGCCATGACGACAAACCCTCAACCACCTCCCTCAAACTTACAAGCTAACAGCTCTTCAATTTCCTACACCAAATCATCGACTTCCGCCGTTAACTTACCTTTCTCTTCTTCAAACACTGCACCACTCCGCCCACTTACATCTTACGAGACATTTCTTTCACAGCCCACCCTTCTCGGATCCTCGCCATTGTTGGTCCCAGCGGAGCTGGAAAATCAACTCTCCTCGATATTCTAGCCGCCAGAACTTCACCCACGACGGGGACGGTTCTTCTCAACTCGTCACCGATCAATCCGTCGTCGTTTCGGAAACTCTCAGCTTACGTCCCTCAACACGACGCTTGTCTCCCTCTGCTTACGGTCGCAGAGACCTTCGCTTTTGCAGCGAATTTGTTAGTCCCCAAAACTGCACAGATCGCCATTGTTGTATCTTCCCTTTTAAAGGAGCTTAAATTGTCGCATTTGTCGGACTCCAGGCTGGCTCACGGACTTTCCGGCGGAGAACGGCGGCGGGTTTCAATCGGGTTGAGTCTTCTTCACGACCCGGCTGTTTTACTTCTTGATGAACCCACTTCGGGTCTTGACAGTACTTCTGCTTTTAACGTGACACAGATCTTGAAATCCATAGCTGTTTCTCGTCATAGAACTGTCGTTTTGTCTATTCATCAACCGAGTTTCAAGATCTTGTCTGCCATTGATGAACTGCTTTTGCTCTCTAAAGGAACTGTGGTGCATCACGGTACACTTTCTTCTCTTGAAACATTCTTGTTTTCTAATGGCTTCACTGTCCCTCCCCAGCTAAATTCTCTCGAATACGCCATGGAAATTTTAAACCATCTCCATGAAACCAAACCCATTACTCCGCCATCTTTTCCTGCAACTCCATCCTCCTCAAACTCCACAAACTCTCCTTCTCCACTCTCTCTCCCTCAACCTCAAACTCGTTACAGAAGCTCGAGGTTCCACGAAGTCTGTGCTTTGTACAGCAGGTTTTGGAAGATTATTTACAGAACCAAACAGCTTTTTCTCACGAACACGTTAGAGGCTCTCGTCGTGGGTCTGGTTCTGGGTACAATCTATATAAACATCGGCTATGAAAAAGAGGGGATTGAGAAAAGATTTGGTCTTTTTGCTTTCACTCTCACTTTTCTCCTCTCCTCCACTACTGAAACTCTCCCTATATTCATCAACGAACGCCCGATTCTACTCAGAGAAACTTCAAGCGGCGTTTACAGACTCTCATCTTATCTGATAGCCAACACACTCGTCTTCCTCCCTTATCTCCTCGCCATAGCCGTCATCTACTCCGTCTCTGTTTACTTCTTAGTGGGTCTTTGTTCTTCATGGCAGGCTTTCTCTCACTTCGTTTTAATAATCTGGATCATCGTTCTAATGGCGAATTCCTTCGTCATGTTCTTAAGTTCTCTCGCTCCAAATTACATCGCCGGAACCTCGCTCGTTACCATTCTTCTCGGCGGCTTCTTTCTCTTCTCCGGCTACTTCATTTCGAAAGATAGCTTGCCCAAGTACTGGCTGTTCATGCATTTTTTCTCCATGTATAAATACGCTCTTGACGCTCTGCTGATCAATGAATATTCTTGTCTGGTTTCGACATGCATGATCTGGTACGAGGAGAAGAAGAGCTGCATGGTGACGGGAGGAGATGTGTTGGAGAAGAAAGGACTCCATGAGACACAGAGATGGAGTAATGTTTATATCTTGATTGGGTTCTTCGTGTTCTATCGCCTTCTTTGCTTGCTGGTTCTGATAAGAAGAGTTTCCAGCTCGAAGAAATGAAGGATTTACAGAGCATATTTATTATATTAATCTGTACGTGTCTCTTTAAAGATCATTTCTACTTTTTGCTTCTTCATCTTCTTCAAAAGAAATTTGAAGCTCCTGTAAATGGCTTCTTGGCGGTTTATCTGATTATGAAAAACAATAAATTAAGTTAGTATTTTTCTACAATAATTAAATATTAGTCTCTAATTTTTTAGATTATTTGTACAAATATATGATTAGTAGGGAAGAAACATATATATAAACATATATATATGTTCTTAAAATTTATGATTATGCATGACTAGAAAAAAGTGCATATATGTATATACAAATTATTAAGAGTTTGATGAGATCCTATGAATATTATTCAATTTATTATTTGAAAATTATGATGGTAAAATTGATTGTATCTTTTTTTTTTTTCAATTTTAAAAATTGTTTCGTCTATTATTATTATCGAAAAATTATTTCGACTAGGTAGAACATCTTTTTCATGGATATACATGAAATGATATGTCTTCATCAATAAAGCGAAAGTTAGGGTTTTTTTTTTCTTAAATAAAAAAATCTAGGTCGAGTTTTTTCCCCGTTGTAATTGTTGTCACGAATTTTTTTTTTCTCGTACATATTATGAGTAACTAGAATTAAATTCAATCTGATCGCATCAGTACTATTAATATAGAGTTAAAGCTTTTAATTTCGTTGAATTAAATATTAAAAATTAATTATATCTTAGTTTCGTCCGATCATTAATAATTTAATTATTTTTAGATAATAGTATGTAAAAAGAATGCTCGTAAAGTAACCTACTAGTGGAGTAAGATTTCGTACGGATAAAAGAAAGAGAGCTAAAGAGAGTGTCAAAAAAAGAATTTTTTTGTACATAATTATGTGTAATCTCGAATATTATTAGTTCGGGTACATATACCAAAATGGTAATTATAAAATAATAAATTTTATATTCAAAATATTAAAATACGACATTGTTACTATATATATGTATATATATATACACACACATTCAACTATGTAGAGGATGATTTCTCTGTTGGTCATCAAATCACAATATTATATATATATATATATATGTATGTATGTATATTATATATACACCTTTTGTGGACATAACCAACATCATGATGCTTTTCTTCTTAAATGTAAACCACAAATCCATTACCCCATTTGCATCCAAATCCAATTAATTTCCTTAAACAAACAAGAAGCTCGCCATATTTTTTTTATATGATTTGACTTAAAACGACGTCGTGGGATATAAATTCTCGAGTCTTATTCTCTTGTTGATTATTAATAGCGTAGTGTCACGGGTCTCTCCAATAATTATCTCATAGTACTTTGTGTGTGCGTCTGTCCATACATATATATATATACACACACACACACACACACACACAATATATATATGTATATGTATATATACAATGCATGAGATGAGATAGAGGTTGGAGAATCCAAGGGTGTGGTGATGAATGTAAACAAAATAGGGTTTTGTCGGGTGGTGAGTGTGATGAAATGTTGCGTTTTGTTTGATTCTTGCCAACTCTCTGTCACTGAATCAATGCACATACATATATAAATATGTGTGTATATATACACACACAGACACTCACGGGTGCTTCCTATTTCCCACTCGTGAACTTACTCTTGGCCTCTCTATTCTACACTCCATGTGTATGTGCACAACCTTTTATATATATATATATATGTATGTATACACACACACACACACACATGTTTTCTTAAACCTGACTTCCATATATAATTGTATTATAAAGTAGTAATTATAAATTATAATATTTAATTTATTAACGTGTTAAGGAGATAATATCTGATAAAATTAAATTAAATTTCAATAAATTTATTATATTTTTAAATAAAAAAATAAATAATGAGATTATGGCCGGATGACCCGAAGAGTGCAATCTAAATGCATTTCGGGTCGACCCAATGGGCCTCAAGCTATTGGATCTTAATGTTGTCAACGAGCAAGACTAAATTAGGAAACCAGGCCTCGAAACCTCTTATACACCGTATCATACGTATACGAACTTACAGACCGTAGGTATACGACGTCGTATCAGGCCTAGGGCACTCTTGAGCCGTGCAGCAGTGGTGAATTAATAATACATAACGAGTATCCGCCATTTCTAAACCCCCTAAACCCCGCCAAGTGTAGCGACAAATTATTCTCTTCTTCTTCTTTTTTCTTCAATGGCGGTAAGTTATCATTCGCTTCTCTAGATATTAGGTTAAGGCGATTCATCTTCGTTGCGTTGCTTTGAGAATACGTATTTTTGGAGAACATTAGGGCTAGTTAGTGCTTTTTTCGCGGTTGATTGAGATTTTGAATCTCAAATTCATTTTGATTTCTTGTTTCGTAATTTTTGCAGACAATACCAGTTAACCCCAAACCCTTCTTGAACAACTTGACTGGGAAAACAGTTATTGTAAAATTGAAGTGGGGAATGGAATACAAAGGTATTTTTTTTTTTCGCTGTTAGCTAGTCAATTGTGTCCATAGAAAACCCTCATTTTTAATTTTATTTTTTTAATTTTTAGTTTATATGCTAATAATTCTTTTTGATTTGAGATGCAGGGTTTCTTGCCTCAGTGGACTCTTACATGAACTTGCAGGTGCTCCCTTATTATTCTGATACCTAATATATTTGATTCACTGGAATAATTTATCTCTGCGATCTTCATTTTTTTGTTTCTGAAAATTTTTCGTTTATAAACACAGCTAGGTAATGCTGAAGAATATATTGAGGGACAGTTCTCAGGAAATCTGGGAGAGATTTTGATCAGGTAAAGAAATTTTCCTGTGTGATTTAAGCCTTGGAATACATTATTTCAATTTCACGAGGTGAATTTTGATAATTTCTGAGAGTATTTTCATCATCATTTAGTTGAAATAAGTATATACTTCACAAATGAATTCCACAAAAATTCTAGATTGATCCAAACATAGCCTTAGTAATTGAACATTGTTGAATACCATTCTTGTATTTCTAGAACATCGTCCTCTTTCGTCTAGACTCATCTGTACTTGGTGCTTGGGCTTATATGAGCACAATGAACTGAATGTCGAAGAACCATCGTTGGATATGCTTGCTTTGAGTTTGGCCAGCATCATTGGTTCCCTGCCGGCTTAAAATGGATTTGAGATTGGCCGATAAGTAAACCATATGATATGTCCTGGTCATAGAACGTCGCAGAACCGTAGATGGATATGCTTGCTTTGAGTTTGGCCAGTATTGTTGGTTCCCTGCCAGCTTAAAATGGATTTGAGATTGGCCAATAAGTGAACCATATGATATGTCCGGGTGATATAACATCAATTTATTTTGTTTTACTTTGTCTCGTTCCAATAAAAGAACAAATGGCTTGATCGTTTTTTTTTTTCGAAAGAACTTTGCAAATGGGGAGATGTGGTGGATCACTATTCTTTAATGATCTGAGAATAACCCCTAGTCAAGTTTTCTCTTATATTTTCCTGCCGTGCATAAAGCAAATTCACAGCAAATTATACATACAGCTTTTATTGCTGTAAAAATAGTTGCTCTCTTTTCAGGTTGAATCAGGACAAGCAGTTGATTCTGAAAGTTTTAAATCAAAACAAAGTGAAAATATTCCTAACTCGGTATCTTATGGAATCTTTGTTCATGTCTTATAACCTGCAGATGCAACAATGTTCTTTATCTTCGTGGGGTACCGGAGGATGAAGAAATAGAAGATGCTGATCGAGATTAATCACTGTTTTAAGCACCATCTTGGGGTTTTAATAGGAAGATCTTCTTTTGTTTCCATGTTCAGCATGTATTGTATTTCTATCACGATTAGGCGCATTAAAACTGATTTGTGAGACCCACCCAGATACATCTATCATTTACAGAGCCTTGGGAAGCAACTTTGTCTTCTTTTTTGTTGTATGATTCTCAACAGTCTCGAAATCTATTTTATCCCGGATATATTTCCCAAAGTGTTGAAGGACTTACTAGATATTGATCTTTCTATTGTCAGTGTAGTTTACTTGTTTCTCCTGAAACGGAATACAAGATTAAATGAATGCTTAATATCTTCTTCTCGGGGCACTATGTAGACGGACCTTAAGAACTTGATGCTCATAACATGCATACTAGGTTAACGAAACTTCGTTTTTGTATTTGCAACACAAGGTGTTATATTTTTCTTTTTTCTGTTTATGAACTGCCGAGGTTGAGAAGACTAGTTATTTATGGGATCAAAGAAACCTGTTTTATGTATGTGGATGCTAAGGTGGTTAAAACAATGTATTACTATTCACACCCGTATGTGCATATATGTATCTCACTGACTAGTTCTAGTGGTGTGTATGTGTATAGACACTCAAAACACAAATGTTACTACATTGTAGTCACTGCTAAAGTTGTGTTTTCCTCCTCGAGTTATCGGCTCTATCTGAATTTCGAGTCTAAAATGGCGGACTCAAGTATCTTGTATCCATCATTACACAAACCTAATTCCTTCTCCCATCCCCACTTCTCTACAACCCCACCAATTTCCTACTCTCTCCGCCAGTTTCCGATCACAGCTCCTCCGCTCAAACCGCCATGGAGATTGACCTTGGACCTCCTCCATCTCCATAACCCAAATCTTGTCCCTGCTGCCAGTTATGTTATTTTTTATAATACGTAGAATACTTGTATATATTTTTATGAGGACGGACATGGAGCAAAATTTTCATTAAATTTATTTAATAAGATTTTACCGCAAATAAATTAAATTCTCGCGGCCAGTTATGTTATTGATTGAAGGCCATACCCTTCGCATATATAAAGTACACGATATATGTCTGAGCTCAGAAGGTATGGATAAGTGTACATCATTTCATTTCTTCTTCCACAACCCAATGAGTTTGCTCAGCGCGACACAGGACGAACCATGCAAGCTCATTGCTTCTTTAGCTGCAGCTTTCATGGCCTCAACTCGTTCTCTAACAAACTCACCTTCCTTGCATTCCATTAATTCTCTAACTCGCTTCTCCACCTCCACTGAACTCACAAACCCGTTCTCAGACTCCACCATTGGCAAAGCAATCTTCATTTCCTCAACCAACAGTACTCTGTTTAATCTTTGTTCTGCATAAAGCGGCCACGCCAGCAATGGAACCCCAGAGCAAATCGCCTCAAGCACCGAGTTCCACCCGCAATGACTCACAAACCCACCGACCGATTGGTGACTCAGCACTGCTTTCTGCGGGGCCCATGACTTGACTATCATTCCTCGCTCTCTGGTTCGACCGAGAAACCCGTCTGGAAGCAATGAATTCAAATCCGGGTCGGTTAATTTTGTAATGTCAACATTCTGATCATCAGAGACCGGCGGATTTCTCACCACCCACAGGAATCTCTGGCCGCTCTTCTCTAACCCGACGGCGATTTCATGCAACTGATTCTTGGAGAATAATCCTAAGCTACCAAAACACAAGAAGACAACACTCTGTTTAGGCTGAGAATCGAGCCAAGTCAAGCATTCATGCGCAGCCTCATCCCGGCCATGTCTACCTTCTCCAGAAGAAATCAATGGGCCGATACAATAAATTGGCGCCGTGGAGCCATCAGGCACACAGAGCCCCCTTGTTAAAGCTTGGATAGCTCTCGGCTCGAGCTGGTCAAACGTGTTTATTATAATTCCTGAAGAAGTCGGGAGTTGGGTTGCCATGTAGAGAAAATGTTGGTAAACTTCGTCATTTCGATCAAGCATAGGCTTGGCCAGGTCTTTAGCTGGAATAGGCGGTAAACCGGGGATTTCGACAAGGGTATTACCCATATCCTGGAAGCTTTTGTCTGTGTTTTTATGGAGAGTTGGTAGGTAAAGGAAGGAAGCGAGACACCCAGCACCAGAAGTGAAGAAATAGTAAGCAGGGACGTTGAGATCAGAAGCCACGGAACGAACTACAGTGCAGAAGAAATCGATGATCAAAGCATGGACTGTAAAATTCTGGGAGATGGAGAGAAGGGTTTGGTGGACGTTAGGATTGTTCAGACGGAGGGTTTCGAAAGTGAGAGTTTCGTGATGGCGAGGCGCGAGGGAGGGCGAGAGGGTGACCGGAGGAAGGTGGTGGAAGATGATGGAAGGGAAAGTTGCAGAGAAAGAAGTGATGTATGGAGCTGTTGAATCAGCTCGGTAAGGTGGGGTGGCGACGAGTACGTGGATGACGAGTGAAGGTTGGTGAGTGAGTATGAGTTTTCCGAGTTCGAGCATGGAGACTAAATGACCTATCGGAGGAGATGGGTATAAGACTATAGCGTCCGCCATGGCTGATTATGATTAGACACAGTATGCAAATGGAGGAAGGAGATGATATAAACAGCTATAGCTCAAAAAGTGATTTTTCCCCTTACCTGCTTTTGGAGTGAGAGTCAATTATATATAACATATTTATGTATTTATTTATTTTAATTTGATCCTACAGGGTATATGTATCATTACAGCCATTGAAATTTTCCAGACCTGTAAACAAGTGGTCCAATACGATAGGAGCAAGGAGCTTACGTCAATACCCAATCGACCTGCAGGTTCTCTGGAGCCATTCAAGTTTTCTTCATAAAACGGTGACGTACTTGAATTCCCTTGCACATTTCTATCGTCAACTGCCGCCACTTCATGTCTCCGTTTTGGAATACCCTTCAAATTTGTTTGTAAATTTATACCTACTTTCATAAAAAAAAAAAAAAAAAAATTAAATTTTATTTAAATTTAATAATATTTAAAATAATAAAATTTAAACTCGTAATATTTTAAATTTTATAAAATTTAAGTTAAAATTTTATTTTCTTACAAACATAATCTTAGATTCTATCAAAAATTTTATAACCTAAATCAAATATAAAACTTAGTAAAAAGAACTTATAAGACAGAAAAGTCTCGAATAATGGAGTGATGAAGTCAATTGCACAGCTCTTCAACAACCGTATCTCAAACAATATTCAACAATTGACTTAACTAAAAATAATTGGTAATTCTCGAATCTCGTCTTTTTCACGCAAAAATATAAAATAAAAACAAAATGGTAGATGAAGGTATTTATGTACTTCACACACGTGTATTACGTGCATACTAAAATTAGGTTACCCACTAGATCAAGCAACGAGTGCACCCTCAAATATGGGTTGATGGATTTAGTGTTTGGTGTATTTTCCGACGTTCATAGGAATTCTACTACGTTTCTACTTAACGAATATAATGATACTGATCAATCCCCTTTTTCTTGTGCCAAAAGATCTTTCTATTTTTTGAAAAATCGGAGTTACATCTCTTTCTCGTTTTCATTCTAAGAGTTTTTATTTATAAAATAAAATAAATAAAAATAAAAATAAAAATAAATACAAATGACACTTTGATTGTAAAAACCGAATCTAAATATCAGTGCATGCGCAACCAGTAAGAAAAATTGGTATGTAGTTCTCGGTGGAATTCCAAAGAGGTAAGAGGAAAAGGTATCCATAAAATCTGCCAGTCTAAAAACGAAAATACTCTGTGAAACTAAATTTGTTACAGAAAGCATAGAGAGATTTTATCGAACTCATGCCACAAGATCGTTTGTTGACCTGACCTGTTCCTGAGATTGATTTTCTGGTGTTCCTCTTCGTGGGGCCGGGCTGAAGGGGTAAGACCTGCCAGAACAAATCTAAATTTGTTTATCACTTGAAAAAGAAAATACTTCAATCTTGATGCGTCTGCCTCTGGGTATGCGTGTTTGCAGGATGAGATAAGGAGTATCAAGCACAACCTTCAGCGCACTATGAAATGCTTCTTACGTATTGGTCAAGTGCTGTGTTGAACAAATCAGACCTATGAAAGGCAAAAATAAGAACCCTCAGTAAGAGCTCGATTGCTCGTTTAACAAGAGAAATGCCCAAAGCTAACACAAGTGACTATTTGGAGTAAGATGGGGACAAAGCTTATATAAAAACCTCTAACTGAAGTCCTCTGGAGCAAAGAGTCACTAATCTTGCATATATCAATAAAGGGTTTGAAGTAATAAAAATGTCTAAACTCACTTGACCGGGCTTCCTGGAGTATAAAGCGGATTTTTGATAACATATTCAACAAACAAGTTATAAATGTACTTCAGGGATTCCCGTAGATCACCAATCTTAGGATGAGTCACCAAGATAATCTGCATGGATGGAAGAAAATACAATGGTTGTGTCAGAGTTGTGTAACTCTATCCTATCAGATAATGGAGTTGGAGTTGAGGGAAATATTTAGCAATAGCTAGGCGCTAGATCATTTCCAAATATCACATCCACGATCCTGTTGTTACAAAGACAATAAAACCTACTCTGATTATATCTTTGCAATAACAAAAAAATACAAACTAAAATGAGACTGTGAAGCACTAGACACAAGGCTACAAAAATGATGCACCAAGGCCATCTACCATAGAAGTGATTGAATAAATATCTGAATCCCTATAAATCATAAATTATCTAAACAATACAGCGAAAGTAACAGATTAAAAGGAGAGCCAGTTCATATCTTTCTAACTAATCTACTTAATATATCAGATAGGCCTACCATATCTCAAACATTTGTGAGCTCAATCTAATTCAAGGATAGGAATTCTCTCTGCTTCTTACTTTAATAGAATTTTGCTCCTTTCAACTTGTAACAACTACTTGAACTACTTTGAGGTATAACCTCCAATCTGCAATACCATATTGAACCAGTTTCACTAAGTTAAAAAAAACATGGATTTTTCTAGAATTTAAACAAATTTATCCGCTTCTTAATTTAATAGAATTTTGATACAGGACAGAACTAATACCATAGTAGGATACGAGCATTATGGATTCTTCTAAATTCAGTTCAGCAGGTATGCCGTCTTTTCTTTCTTTTTCTTGTACAAAGGAGCATTTTCACAGCAGGAGGTTGTTCTCTTTTATTTCCTTCTCCCATTAGAATCAGGTTCTTTCTAGTTCTAGGGAGTCCACATATACTCTAAAGTAACTTTTGTAGTTACTTCATATTGATAGCTACCATAACAGCTAACCCATCTTCTTGACCATCTTTATTTTGTTTGTTCTATGTCAACATTATATAGCATTTACTTTATTTTTCATTACTTGTGAACAGTGAACACTAAAAATTGGTCTATTTAGCATTTAATAGTTGCCTCAGGTTAATTCCTTTAAGAAATTCATGTATGAAGCACTTTTTGTTTCCATTCATGTATAAAATATTGAAGAAAGTTCACACAAGTAGTAGCAAAGAAACATTAGCACCCAACTCCAAGCAACCCATAAGCAAACTTTACTTATCTAATAGGTTGGGTACACATGCCAAGAAGTCAGTTCCCCAGATGCTTTCCTCAAAATTTAACCTTCCATTATTCAGCAAGCAAAAGCGTTGCCTACGTTAATTTGTTACAACCAAAGTTTAAACAGGTATCCAAGGCACTAAAACCTGACAAGTAGGTGAAAACAAGTCAACAGTAAATCATCCCAGTCATCTTCTGTAATTCTCTAGTCGCAGATGATTCCATACATTTCTAGAAAATATGAAGGAACAGCATGCAATTTTAAAGAATTCAAGCACCCATCACATATAAAGAATCCAATATGCAAGACCTGAGACAGAGTGAAACAGGCTAAGAGATTATGTTAGCAACATATATTGAACTCCAAGGGATGAAGAAAAAATAAGCACCAAGAAAGAAAGCCTCATCAAACAGCATGCTAAACAACTGAAATATCACAGTTATATTTTCTTTCACTGTACGCGAATCATCCCAAAAGAAAAATTTGATAGCAGGCCTTTCTCCTTCCCTAAATGGTTACCTCCTTTAAAACTACCATAAAGTGAAGGAGAAACCAAACCTAAAAAAGGAACCGAAGAAACATGTACTAAAGTCCTATTTACAGGTAATGTTTAATTCTCAATTCTCATCAAACATTTAAAAAGCACATCAGTTTCAAGATAATTAAAGGGAAAAATCTCATAATTAGAGAAAACCAAAAAAAAAAAAAAAAAAAAAAAAAAAGAAAGAAAGAACACCTTTATCCCCGAAGGAGTCTCCATGAAACTAAGCTTGTAGGTGTTGGTACGGAAACTGTGAAACGAACATCCTTGTCCCGGTAGCTGAGGTACTCCTAAATTCCCCTTGTCCGCACTATAAATCAAAATTTAATCCCCCAAATAAATTCAAGACAATTGATCAGATCCGTAACATAATTATAATCATAGTAACAGAAATGTGAAATGCAATCTGACTTACGTTGTGGGATCCATCTTGGCCGTCAAGGATTTGAGAGAGAAGAGAAGACCGAACATGAGCTTTTGATCTTGCTGCGGACTTAGCGTGTGGAGAGGCCGATTCCACTCCCTGTAAAGCAAGCACACACCGTTTCTGTTGAATACATACATCATGTGTGCATTATTCCCCGATGCCGTAGGCGGAGGAGGTGAGGGGCTGATCTCCGATCCCCCAAAGAATTGCATCCTCGGAGAATTGAACTAGATTTGCAGGCTGTGCGTCGAGCGGAAGATAACAGAAACCCTAATTAGTATGCAGATTAGAAACGGAGAATTCCTTCTTGGGATTATTACAGTTGCATACCTTGGAGATTTGCTGATTGAAGAGAAAAATTTACTTCGCTGCAACAACTTAAGCTTGACTGGGAGACGAGTTACAAATCGAAGAAGACTCGCGCGAGCCGGATTGCACGACGTCGTTTAGTGGCATTAAAAAAATACCCGTAGTCACAAAAAGCCTGTTACTTTTTGTTAGTAGCTTCAAATATTTAGTTCAGACCAAAAATATGTATTTGTAATTAGCAAAAGATATAATATAACTACTAAGATTTAAAATAAATTTTTGCCATAATGTATGTTAATTGTCTAAACTTCATGCGTATGGAAAATAAAATATAACACTTCTCTCAACTATTATGCTATTGAAGCTTAAACTAACAATATAATGTTAAGACTCCGAAACTCTGGTAAAAATGAATCCAGATCGAGTTCAAACAGTTTAATTACGAGACTCTAAAAGATAAAAAATGCTCGAACCACTCTGAGCCCTTTAGCTCAGTTGTAGAATTGTATTTTTTGTTTCTAAGATATGCAGCTCTTCGGTGAATCTGACAGTGGTTTGTGTCTTTTAACTTGAATTCACAAGCTCTCTGACTCTGCTGGTAAAATCAAATGCAGGAATTACCATGCATCTTTATTTGAAAATTTGGGACGAAAATTGTTCGAGTTCAAGACAGAATCATAAATAACAAATTTATCATGTCCATTCACTTGATTTTTCCAGCAACTCTGAAACAAGCACAATAACTTATGTGCAGACCAACTTAGCAGAAATTATATGGATCACTAAAAGTTCGACCAGGAGACAAACAAGTTCACTGCAATTTCTAGATATGCCACACTTTTGGAAAGACACAAATAGAAAATATGTGACAAGCCCAAGAAGTTAAAAAGGAAAAAAGGAAAGATTTCGATCTACTAGTGCCTCCTGAGCCACAGGCATGACTCGCACATTTCACAACCAGACGAAACATGAAGCAAAATCATTCTCTTATGTCACATGATGTCTGATTGGAGCAATAGTTTTAATGATCCCAACTTTTCATTTCCATGCCTTCAGGTGGGCTACCCTCGACCTTCTTGGAACCAACTTCTTTCCAGTTTGTTGACAGCACTGTGCCATTCGATTCCACCTGCAAAACCACACCACGAATTAAGATGCAAGGGCACAGAGCGAAGTAATGTGGTCATCTGATTTGAGCCTTTGTAAGCTTATAAGCTAGTTATGAGATGAGAACAGATCATGTATGTGTTAGCTGGCTTCTTTTTTGGTATAAATATCATTGGCTTATAAACTAAAACTTAATCCTAAAATAAGCTAGTATGAGTTGCTTCTTTTGTAGACTGCTTTGTGACTCATAAACCAAGACTTCTACCCAATTTTCTTCTTCAATTTTTTTCCTGATAAAAGAAAACCACCCTCAGGAAAAACCCACTAAAATGATTATTACGGTGCCATTTTACAGTAAATAATTACAGAAGCCCAAAATCTTACAAAGGACTTGCTCATGGCTCTTCTTGCGTCCTCGTCAGCATCCCGATAAATGTCCTGGAAAAATTTGTTTAAAGCTGCATCACCATCTAACTTTTCTTCTTTCTCCTGAAAGTAGAACCAACAAAGTGTCATGCCTTGATCTAAAATCATAATGTAAGCCTTCCGTTTCTAAAAATGTACTTGTGAATCCAGTATCCAGCAAAAATCAATAGTTTTCAGACAGAGAAACAGACCTCCTTTTTCACTTGAGCTTCAAGTTTATCCCAATCAACCCTTTTGGGTTTTGAAGATGGGTAGGTTGGCCTCTGAGCTGCAGTAACTGCAAAGCTTTTCACTTTAAGTACGTGTAAAAGAAATCTACAAGCCAAATAAAAAATCCTGAAAGAAAAAAATACTTGACAGCAGACAATGTCTGAAGGCCTCAACCGGGATGAATATTAACCTACCAGAGGACACATTAACCCTTTGTACAACTGCATTTTCCTGGCTGAATTCAAGAGAATTCCAGTGAATACGCTCGGCTTTTGCAAGGCGAACTTCAATTTTGGTGGATAAGACAACATGTCGGCAACGATCAGGTATAATCTGTATTTGCAAAAAATGACAAACATATAGAGTTAAAACTTTATTCAAAATTCTATGAACAAAAGGAAATCAGTAGCTAGCAAATCTACTCTTCTCTCGCCCTACAACAGAATATGAAAAAAGAAAGCGGGCGATTCCTTTGTTCGTTATGAAATGTGTGAAATATTTGACTATATTCCCAAGTAAGCAAACACTATTTGTAGTAATTGTTTA